GAGGAAGTAGTTGGCCTGGTCGATGAAGAAGAGCTCCAGCGCGGAGCGGCGCAAGTTGTAGCGGCGCAGGTGGACCTCACGCAGGTGGGACAAGGGGCGCTTGAAGTCGTAGCCGATCCCTGCCGAGATGGGGGTGGGAGGTAAAAAGCCCCGTGGACCTCACCATCCACCCAGACTCCCAATTCCTGAGGAACCCACCCCCAAAACAACCAGTACCCCACATGACGGGCTTCTGGAGGAGATGGGATGGGTGGGGGGTTCCTCACCCCACCTTGCTGCAGAGACCCTCCAAGGAGCACGTGTAGTTACCTCCCTCTGTCTCCTCCTTCTCACTGCTGCCGTCGTAGAAGTAGACATGTTGGGTTGTCACCTCCAGGCGGCCGGGGATGACAGCCACTGTCGTGATGAGCTCACAGTCCTCTGAGACCACCAGTTTCTCCCGCTGGTTCTGCTCCTTGGGCTCAGCCCTGAGTGACACCGGGGGTGAGGAGACCCTGGTGACACCCCAGCCTGGGGGGATCCAGTGCCATGGGAGGGGATGGGGACACTCACTGGTTGTCTAGGACGGGGAGGTCCTCCTCGGCCAGTTGGTCATCCTCCAGCTCGCTCACCTTGGCCTCCTTGGCCATGGCAAGCGGGAGGGACTCGGCTGGGTTCTGGAGGTGGTCAGCTCCTAAAATTAGGAGGGGGTCAGCAGCCGTATGGGTCCTCCACGGCTGCGGGACAAATCCTGTGAAGGGCCCCAATCCCACACCCCCACCTCAGTGGGGTCCATGCCAGCTCTCAGCTCAACCCCACCACGTGCATCCAACCGGCATGGGGGCACCCCTGGGTGCCCCACTCCCATCAGCCTCACCCAAGTTGTCCCGTAGGGCGCTGGCCTCCAAGTGTTGGTCAAAATTCAGGTTGGGCACCAGCTTCAGCCTCATCCGGGAGTAGGTCTCGGCGCTTGACAGCTTCCAGCGAACCTCTGCTGGGTTCCTGGGGGGCAGGTGGGGGTGAGGCACCCGAGGAACCCCCAGCGATGCCATCCCTCCCTGGGGACCAAGGTGGGGGGGTCTCACCGGTCAGCCCAGGCGGAGCGGGGTGAGGTGAGGAGGCGGCACAGGGACCGCCACTGCTTCAGCACGGTGCTGTGGTGGTTGTTGGCCTGCTTGAGCACGTTGGCGTGCCGGGCGTTCTCTGCCTTGGAGCGCTTTGCCGCTGGCTCCAGCACCAGCTCCTGCCAAGGGAGCAGGAGAATGAAGTGACAGCAGGGCTGGGGCTTGGGGACATCATCGAGGTGAGGAGCATTGTCCATGGAATGACATTCCCAGAGCAAGGAGAACATCCCCAGGATGATATACTTGGGGTGAGGAGCACATCCCTGGTATGATGTTCCTGGGATGAGGAGCACTTCCCGTGGGCAATGTCCCCAGGGTAAGGGGATTACAACCCTGGGATGAAGAGCACATCCTGAGGATTAATGTCTCCAGGGTGAGGAACGTGTGCCTGGGGCAAGGAGCACATCCCCAGGATGACATCCTAGGGGTGAGGAGCACATCCCCAGGATGATGTCCCCAGAGTGAAGAGGATCTCCCCATAATGACATCCCTGGCATGAAGAGCTTGTCACAAGGATTAATTTCCCCAGGGTGAGGAGCACATCCCTGGGATGTCATCTCCAGAGCGAGGAGTATGTCTCTGGGATGGCATCCTAGGGGTGAGGAGAACAGTCCCAAGATCATGTCCCCAAGATGATGAGCACATCTCCAGGATGATAAGACCTTCCCCAGAATGACATCCCTGGGATGATGAGTACCTCCTTGGAACGATAATCCCAGGATGAGGAGCACATCCCGAGGGCAATGCCCTCACGGTGGGAAGGATGTCCCCAGGATGACATCCCCAGGATGAAGAACAAATCCCTAGGATTAACATTCTCAAAGTGAGGAGCATGTCCCCAGGGTGAGGAGCGCATCCCTAGGATGACATCCTTGGGGTGAGGAGCACATCTCCAGGATGATGTCCCTCGGGTGAAGAGCATGTACCCAGGGCAAGGAGGACATCCCTGGAATGAGGAGCACGTCCCCAGGATGAGGAGCACATCCCCAGGATGAGGAGCCCTTCCCCAGGATGACATCACTGGGATGATGAGGAAATCCTTGGAATGATGTCCCCAGGATGAGGAGCACATCCTGAGGATGATGTCCCTAGGGTGAGGAGTATGTCCCCAGGATGACATTCCCAGGATGAAGAGCACATCCTGAGGATGATGTCCCTAGGGTGAGGACGATGTCCCCAGGATGACATCCTCAGAGTGAGGAGCACATCCCCTGGGTGAGAAGCATGTCCTCAGGATGAGGAGCGTATCCCCAGGGTGACATCCCCAAGGGCTCGGAGCAGGCAGTACCTGGAACATCTTGCGGCTGGCTGCCTTCTCCTGCTCCCGCCGCTGAGAGCTGCTCATCATGGCATCGTAGCAGGCATTCCAGAAATTGGACATGTGGTCGTGGCTCTTGGCGAAGGTGTCCATCTCAAACTGGGCCATGGTGGGCTGCACCTACCGAGAGAACCGTGGTGAGAGGAGAGGCGTTTGCAGGGCTTGGCACCTACCAACCATCATCCAGGCTATGAGCATCCCTGCCCTGGAAGTCATCCCTGCAGGCTGTCCCAACCTGGTGGTGACATGAGGTCCCCACCACGGCATGGCCCCATCTCTAAGCCTGGGAAGGTGTTCCCCCCAACAGCAGTGCCACCCCCGGCCCCATGGCACCCACGTGCTTCTCGATGAAGCCCCTCCACTCCGGGGTGGTGCAGAAGAGCTGGAAGTCCTCGTAGAAAGTGGGGCTGCCGTTGGTGGGGGGCAGCGAGGGCAGGAAGAGCTGCAGCTGCAGGGTCTCATAGCACTGGTCCATGAGTGTCCGGACGATGGGCACCAACCAGGAGAAGGTCTCCGATTTGGCTTCCAGCGAGCGTCGCAGCGGGGTCTCCAGCTTGCCCAGCAGGTAGCAAGCCTCGTCCTTTTTGGGGGCCGAGGCGGTCTGCAGTAGGCTGTGAAGCTTCACGTATGCCAACGAGTGCAGCTGGGGGGGGACATGGGACATCAGATGGAGCCACCTGCCCTGCCCCAAGGCCTGGGGTCTCGCCCCGAACCCCAGGAAAGGGTGACCCACCTGGGGGTCCTGCAGCATGATGTAGCCCACGAGGATGCGTAGACCAGTCTGTGCCATCTCCTTGAGGTCGGAGGTGCCGTTGGCCAGGTGGTACCAGACGCCCAGCTTGTCCAGCAGACTGCTCACCACCTCGTAGATCTGGG